CCGTCTTGTCAACCTTTGACACTATGCGATGATTTGACAATTGACGAACACCGAAACCCCCGAACATAAAAGCTCATGCGTAGGAGGAGAAATATGACCCGAAGCTTTGGATCGAAGCAGCTGTCATAGAAAGAATGCTGCCTGTGCCCTTCATTCAGTTGCAGCTTTGCTTCAGTTGGCGCGCAGTTAGTGTTTTATCTTACTACATTTGGCGATACTTGCATGCACCAAGAGTGCCTGAGCGAGAAGCAGTTGGTAAAGCTCAACGTGGAGTGGAGCGCGCAACCCGCGAACTGGCTACTGACATAAATCCCTCATACAAAATGTACTCGCGGTCAATAAAGGGCCCCCGTCATTCGGCTCATCTAGTGCTGGGCCGACGTCGGCCACTGAGACAAACAACGGAAGTTACGATTATTATCCATCCATACAGACTGTGGAGATATGGATTAATGCTACCTAATCCTCTAGGGTCGTGATCCTCAGGTAGGCTGAGGATTTGAGCTGCTGGTCTGCTGCATCATTCTTTGTACAATTCAGTAGCCTCCACTCACCCTGGGTCTTAATGTAGTTTGCCATTTGTCTTCTCGAATGCCAGTAATTGAATTGGGAAAACCCGCAGTTCGCGATAGGAGATCCCGTATGCCACATAGACTTGTTCTTAGAGGCGGGAAACCACGCTTGCGATATCCTTTTCTAGTCCACCGGTGACCAAATGTGGAAGGGACAGGAGCACCCAGTTAGACAGCGCATGAAGCAACACGGAAGCCCTTCGCCTTCCATCGGCAAGATCCCATCATCGGCTGGTTTTGGTGTGCTGGCCACAAGTTCCCAGGCGGCCACATGCCACTGTTCTTCGACCGTTATGATTGGGTCTCACCCGGAGTTTTAGATGACTGAATTGATCGCATCCCAAAGTCGACTGCTGATCCATGTATTCAAACACGAAGTGTGTAACACTGAGAGAGTCAAAAGTTGCTTGAAATTCAGCATCAAGCTCCGCCATGATGCTTGTTTGCAAGTCTGTTATGCACAATATCTCGTGTATGGCGTCGTCAGCTGTAGAGACGATCCCAAACCACTGGATGAATCCCACTCAGCATTGATATCCACGGTCGTATTGGAGCTGAGGTTGCATGATACTTTGTCGTAAGGCTGAGCTGAGCTTCGCTCACCGTTCTTCGGAGAATATTATCCATACTTTCTCATCACGAGACATCTGACCATCTGATATCCTGAAATGCATCTCAGTTGCTCAAATCCAGGGATCAGAAACAGCAGGGAGAAGGAAAAACTGCCAAATCTTTTTCAGATTGGCTGCTGAAGGTGGATAGAAAACAACAATCGTAGTAGCAATCTGGCACAGGTGGGGGTATCCTTGATGTGTAGGAAGCTTGACCAAGACTTTGGCCGATGCGCTTCCGATGATTCGCAAACATGATCCGTAGTTTTCTGGTGGTCCCCGCTTTTTTGAAGGCAATGAGGTCGGCGGACTGACCTTTTGGCGTTCAAAACTCGCAAGCTCATCAATCGAAGGGCATTACTTTTTTTACTTTCTTTGACCGCTTCTCTGGCGTCAACCTCCATGATCCCATTTCGGGCTGAAATTGTCAACTCTCCAGCCAACATCGTATATGTGGAGATTTGTGGGATGATCGAAGCATAAAGCGATGGATGATGATCGGAGACTTCTCACAGAGATGGACACTTGGGGAGAGATCATGCTTAGGTGGATATCTCATCGCCACAATACAACGTCTCGAACAATGCCAAAAAAGCAACATTCTCTTCGGAAGGGACATGGATGCTGCGGTCGGCTTTCAAAATTGGGATGCATGTTTGAAACGAATGCTGTAATAATAACATTGACTACGGTGTTTGGAATACGCCGTACCAGATTACAAAGGAATTAATCTCCTGTGTCAACAACAGAACGTATCTTGAAACATTTACTGGATGATTACCTGGCGGTACGACAGAGTTATTAAGGTAGTGATAATAGAATAATAATTATTCCACGCAAACAATACAGTACGACCAGTTGAGATCGGTATCTGCAAGCCGTTCCTCGACCATCTGGTGGTTATTTCTGGCATTTTTGGCCCCTGCTGTGATCTTCGTTGATGTTGTACAGCCAAGATCGAACTATGATTTCCATATGTTAGTAGCGGAATTTTCAGTAATTCGTCGATTTCTATTCTTGTGACCATGATCTCAAGCATATCCAAATTCCCAATTCCGTCATGATCTCAGATGGGAATCTACTTCCAAATTGAAAACCAGGTTCAACAAAGGGGGTCTCTTGTCATGGGTGGCTGCATACAGTCAGATTCGCGTTGAGGTCACTGTAGCCCTTTCCTTGAGTTTGAATAGCGTCATGCGACGGGCAAAGCCGTGCACAGTAATAGGCCTCGTACTGCCACCAAAGGCGTTTCTCGCAAGAAGGCAACCTTCCTACAACCTTCGGTACATTAAATGAGATTCTTTTGCAGCTGTTCTTTTTTTATTTCAACCCGCATGGCAGCACAAAGTACAGAGTACAGTCATGCTTATCCTTGAATATCTCGTCCTCATAATTCTGCAATAATAAATGCAACATACGTCAGAGGACCAAGACTAATGCCTTCCTAATTTGGACAGCCGGAATTGTCGCCAGGCAAGGGAAAGGCTCGGCGCAGGGCACGATAATGGTCCGGGACAACAAATACCAAGCATATGTAACTAGAGTTAAGCAATGACACTGTGATTTATTCATGGTAGTATGGACTTCTTATGCTAGTTCTATAGTGTAGCAGACGTTAATTAAGAAACCTAAATCATAGACCCAGGTTGTTAGAGATATCAAAGGATGAAGCGCGCAGAGCGCCTTTAATTTTTATTTGTGCATCTTATTTGCTCCAGGGTAGTGACATCCACTTGAGCCAAAGTAGGTTCAGGATCAGGAACCATACAGAGTGCAGGTAATCTTAATTGCTAACCTAGGGATGATAGCGCTGAACCACTCAGTAGTTGGCTTTTAGGTCACGGTTGAGTAATACCACCTCGTAACGGGACGGTTTTCGCTGAGACTTACCCGTAGAGAGGTATTTGCCCCGTGCAAGGACAGCCTCGGGGTGACTCCGGCGGTGTTGGTATTGCCCTTCGCCTACCCTTTTGTGTGAGCCCTTGGTCAGTCTGCTGTCCTGTACTTACATAGGTGGTAGTGGAATTAGTTAGTTACGCCTTGCGGATTACCTAAGGGTACCCGGAAATGGCATAGTACTTCTGAGAGCTAGGAGTACCTCGAAAGGCGGACTTCAGCGAACGGTGGGCAGTCGGGCTGATTTTAGCCGCTGTTTGCTGGATGCTGATTAATCCGAGACGAAAAGGCTGCATTATGCAGTCGTTCTGAGTAGTGACAGCACCTCGTGCTGCTTTGCTAGTCCTGGCCTCGTGGGGGGTAGAGAAAAGTGTTTCGAAATTTAAAGTTGAGGTACAGGCTGGGATTTATCTCTGGGATACTTCGTGTCGCACAGCAGAAGAGAAGCGAGTCCCTGATCATTGTGACATTTCTTTGTTGTTTGTTTGAAGATTGCTTTGTGGGTTTAGTTCTTTTTATTTTCTTTATCATCATTCATGCGATATCTCTCTTTTGGTCATTTTGAGTATAGTTGAGCAAGGCTTAGTGCCTATACAAAATCCCTCATAGTCAAGGACTTGGCTGCCTCTTATGGAGTACCACTTCAACTGTACCCGTCATCTTTATTATTCTCAATCTCGCTAAGTTGTCCCACCAGTCGATGAAACCACCTAGGTTTGTCACAGGCGGCATCTCAAAATGAATGAAACTCAGAAACATTCATGGTCTTCATCTACTTGATTCTTCATTCTTTTGTGTGCACATACTTGGCACTCCATTATTGTCATCAATTTGCCTCCGTTACTATTTAAAAAGAAGGTTGTAATAATTGCTCGTATTATACCCTCCAAGTACGGCGTACAGATCGTACATCAGCAATATTACCGTGTGACAATACATTTCATGGTGGGTTAGCCGCAGGAACCGAAGCATGCACTGGGGTTGGTGGGAGCAAGAGACAGGGTGGGTCATGTCTTGGCGGGGTTGAGTTGGACTGAGCGTCAAGTGGCCGCCTGCAGAAGGAAAGAAGCCCAGGAGAAGATCACCAGAGTGTCATAATTTGATTTTAATTTTCTGAATTATTTTTTCCCTTCCCTTTCTCGATAGTGGCGACCCACTACTACCATTCACCCCAATGACTAAATCAGCTTCCTAAACCTGGTGCCGCTCTCCCGCCCCGTCATAGAAAAAGCGATCGCCCCAGCAAATTCTCGTTCCCCTCCCTCGTAGGCTGGTAGAGTATTGTACTGCGACCCTAATTAATTATTCAGTTATTTGAATTTTTTTATTACCTTTTCTTCCCTTTTAATTTTTTTTTGCCCATTTTTCCTGTGCCGGACTTTCCCACTATTACTTGCATCTCCTACTACTCCTTAACATTCCTTCTTCCTCTCAATTTCCATCCACCTAGTACTGCCAACACATTGCGTTTCTGATTTCCTCGACGCGTCTCCTTCTGGCGCTCTCTTGAGCTGCCACTCTATTGAAGGGAGGGCTTGTACTACTGTACTTCTTGGCTACATACCTGACTTTCTTGCTCCTATCCTATTTGTACCTTTCTTACACTTCCGCCCTCCCCCTCACATCATGCGTTGTATATCATGACAATCGTCGTCCTGCTGAGGACAACCTAATCTCCCGCCCTTTGGGTCGATTGGTGGTATCATTGATCGATATTGAGAGAGCGTCTTCTAGATTATCTCTCTGATTGACAAGTTTAATTCTTCACTGAACTAGTCGTCATTACCTCTCCGACCTTCCTATTCTACAACCTACCGCCGCCACTTATCCTCTCGAGTCATCGATATCGAACATACGACTATATCATTAACTCCCTCTTCGACCTCAGTCGCGATTCTAACCTAGCGATCTACTCGAAGCGATGGCATACTTGCGTGGTGGTGATCGACCCTTTTCAATACACAAGATTTTGAAGATGCTACTCGCCCCCCATCAGTCCAACAAGCCTGTTCAGCAAGATACAGATATGCCTGAGGACGTCGATGAGCCTCCTGATCACCATTACTTGAATACCTCTCCGATGAACGTCGACGACGGTGTTGTCTACGTCAAGTCCCCTACCGCCATGAGTCGTGGCAAGGAATCACTCCTCACACGTGCCCTCAAGCACAGTCCCGAACTGTCTCCTGCCGACCACCAGGAACATCCATTCTACCGCTCGTACCACTCCGGCAACGTCAGCGGAATTTCGACCGCGGAGCTGACCAGCGATGGTGGACTCACGAGCCCATCGTTGTCTAACACTCCAAGCCCCCCGCTGTCTCCTCAACTCAACGGTAGACCTGAATTAAATGCGGCGGAGTCCACTGTGGAGGCCAATCTTGGACGTAAGAGATGCATCAGCTTTGCCTGCGGGCGTAAGGCTGAGGAAACGAAACCTCAACAACCTACAACACCGGAATCGACTGCCACTTCGACGGCAGCGGAGCCCCCCAAGCGGAAGACGGTGCTTACTTTTGTCTGCCCAGCAAGAGATTCCTGCTCGACAAGAGAACGGCCTCCTGTTCGCACGGCTGCTCTCAGGTCGCGGCTCCGTGGATCGCCTGCCCCAGTCGTCCGCAAGGCGTCTCCGGAGAAAGATGTGTCTTTGTCGATTAAGGCACAGCAAGATGAGAAGCCATCGGCATCAAACAGTCAAAGAGGTGTGCCTGTGAAGGGCCTCGGCAAGTTTGAAGAGTCTGAGGCGACCCGGTTCCACGAATTTGCCAGCTCCGTTAGCGAGGATGATGAGTGGGTCACCAAGGTTGGTGAATTCACAGAGAAGATCACTATGAGCGATTGCATGAGAAAAGAAATCGCCATCAGAAAGCTCGCAGAAGAAGCGGAGGAAGAGGCGCTTGAGGAGGAAGACGACGAGGAGTATGAGGATGACGCGGACTCGACCATCCATGACTTCTCCTCGGATGATGGCAATGAATCCGACAATGAGGCTGGCTTTGCTGATTCAGACGATGAGAGTGATGACGGTTCCGAGTATGGATTCTGGGCGCCTTCGACCACTGCTGCCACCAGCCCTCAGACGTCTCGCCAGGCACTCGAACGTCGCGGCTCGAACACTTCTTTAGATTCTATGACTGACGATCCCCGCAAGAAATGGCCCCCAGCACTCGCGTGGAAGGCAAATGGTCGATCCCCTTTCAAACCTCCCCCGGTCAAGATGCGCCCTGGTACTCCCAACCTACCCGACAGCACGGACTTTGTGTGTGGCACATTGGACGAAGACCGTCCTTTGGAAGTTGCATATAAGTCTTGCATCGAGCAACGTCGCCTCTCCAAACAAGTCATCATTCCTCAGGATATTGATCCCAGCTTTCCTACATCGGACATTGATGATCAAGATGACCTGGAAGAGGATGAGATGGAGCTGTCGTTTAGGGCTGATGAAGCAACTCGGGGAAGAACTGGTGTGGATTCCGTGCGTCAACATTCGCCTCGTTTGTCTCCCAAGCGAATGATGTCCCCTCCCCCGCGCCGTGTTGGCCGCATGTCCCCGAGACGTCTTCGGTCCCCTCCACCGCCGGTTAAGATGGGTCCTTCCCAAAGTGGCGATGGTGCCTCGGATGACCAACTTCCCTCTCGCCCGCCCCAAGGCGTCAACATCAGTGAATTGGTTCAACGCCCCCTTATGACTCGCACCAAGTCTCTGCCTCGAACTCCCAACCCTTTTTTCACGTCCCTCGACCGGGCTCATCGGTGGTCACCCATCGCCGACTTGAAAGAATCGCCAGAGCGTGAATCATCCTGCACTCGCGAGGTGCACACTAGAGGCCCGATCGACATAGTCGAAGGTCTGGAGAAGAAGCGTCAGAAGCGAAGGGAAAAATTCTGGCGTCAACATTGCCGCAAAGCTGCCAAAGAGCAGATGGAGCGGCGACCAACCCCTGGAAAAGGAGCTGAACGGATGAAGGAGCTTGGCCTCGAAGTTGCTGAGAGGTTCAGAGCTTACGGTGTCGGTCAAGATGCCCAGCTCGTCCTATCTGTTTAGACCTTTCCTCCATCAGAAAAGGACCTTTGTCTTCCTTGTACATACCCGAACATTGTGTGTCACTTCTTTCTCCCGAGGGGATTCATTTCACTCTTTTCCACAGGCTACAGTTTGAATCCCCTCGGTTGTCCTGTACTCTTTGCACAGCATCGTCACTGCTTGGGAGGACATCCGTCTTGCATTTACAGGGAGATCACACTTTTTCTATTCGTGTTTGCTTCACCTATACATATTACCCCTTCCTTATCGATTTAAACCATATTTTTACATTCCTTCACTGTTGTGGCCAGGGCCCTGTTTGAATTAGTTCTGCATGCTCGCGGTTCATATGGAGGATACCCCCTGCTTTTGTTGCTGCGTTTGTAGGCAGGCCACAACATGACAAGAAGACTAAACGAGTCCTTGCTGATGCGAAAGATCAATGAAATCAAATAATTCAAATCAAAATGATTCCTTATATGAATAGTAAAGTAATCTATTTGGTCATAGTTGTGCAAAGAGGTCATGTGGTTGCAGGTTTAAAGTTGATCTTCCCGGCGGTTGCAGCTGGCTTTAGCGCTCGGCTAAGCGTCCAGAGCTAGCGAATCGGTCAAAAGTCAACGTCAACTCATCGGGCCACCACAACCTGTCTTCTTCTGCACTTATCTCTGGCCCAGCCGCTCGCCACTGCTCTTCTGGCTTTCATCTTTCCCTTGTGATCGTCAGCGATATTTTAATTCCTTTATATCTGAAGTCTGGACAGTTTCCGCCATGTGGATCATTAACTGGTGTAAGTAGTTCCCTGTTCCTTGTTTTGCCTTAGCAACTCCGGGTCCTCGAGACTTTGAAGTTCCGTCCTTGCATTTGTTTTTGGTATCATAAAAAGCTCTCTGGAGGACTTATCTGGCATCTTTTTTTGCACTACTATCCTAAATTCCGTCTGTTTCTGTCGCTAAAGAGTCCTCTTTCTCTGTAGTCTACGATGTCCTGGCTTCCCTTGGTCTCCTTAACAAGCATGCCAAGCTTCTGTTTCTTGGCCTCGACAATGCCGGCAAAACTACCCTTTTGCACATGTTGAAGGTGAGCACCCTCGAAGAACCTGGAAGCGCTGGATACGGAGATGGGTATATGCTGACTGCTTGTGCTTGATTGATAGAATGACCGTGTCGCGACCCTCCAGCCTACGGCGCACCCGAGTATGTCTCCCTCATAACACGCCATGACTGGCGACGAGAAATGTGAGCAGGAGCTGATACTGATAATTCCAGCATCGGAGGAACTTGCCATCGGCAACAACCGATTCACAACGTTTGATTTGGGCGGTCACCAGCAGGGTGAGTAGAACTTGGCGGCTGCGATCACGGCAACGCAGCAGAACTGGGAGCTGGGAGCTAGCATGCTGACAATGTGGATGTACAGCGCGCCGCCTGTGGAAAGACTACTTCCCCGAGGTCAGCGGGATTGTCTTCCTCGTCGACGCCAAGGATCACGAGCGCTTCCCCGAGTCCAAGGCTGAGCTCGACGCCCTCCTCGCCATGGAGGAGCTGGCCAAGGTGCCCTTCCTCATCCTCGGAAACAAGATCGATCACCCCGATGCTGTTAGCGAGGACGAGCTGAGACATCAGCTTGGTCTGTACCAGACCACGGGTAAGGGCAAGGTGCCGCTGGAGGGGATCCGGCCCATCGAGGTGTTTATGTGCAGTGTTGTTATGAGACAGGGTGAGTTTCCTTTTGACTTTTTGTCTCGGGTGTCTTTTACGGCTTCCGTGTTGCTCTTGGGAGTACGATGCTAATGTGGATGATGCCTACTAGGATACGGGGAAGGTATCAGGTGGCTATCCCAATACGTCTAAACAATCAATCACAATCAACTCCATCCGTCCCCTCTGATTACTACCCATCACTACTTTGCTACCGGTCTATTGATAAATGATGATGATGACGATGGAACTATGCCCCCTCCGTCCTATCAGTCTATAGCAATCACTTCCCACTCTGTCAAATGCAGATTCTAGCGATTAGTTCAAGTCACAAGTTCTTCTTTTAATATTATTTCTTAGCTCAAGCTACTTTTTGCACTGGCTGATAATCAACGGAAGAGAGATATACTGGATGTAACTCAGGAACCATCACTGTATGAATGACAAAAGTAGCCCTTGAAATTCGACCTAACCTACAAACCCCAAATGCATTCGAGCGTCATGCACCAGATAAACGAGGTGAAAATTGCATATCCCGCCACCGCCAACCTTGTCCACCACCTTCAAGTACCTTATCATGTAACAGGCATCTAGCGGTCACTGTAGCGTATCCTTCATTCGCGTTGATCGTTATGAGGCGTCGCAACATGCAGATGCAAAGGAGCTAGACTTTGTAAAAAGAGCCGTGGCACAGTTCGGAAGACACGGACATGTCGTTGCTTATTCGGTTTGGCATTACACTCACAGGAAGATTGTTCAGAATGAAAAAAGCAAACGGAGAACACCACAATGCAGCCCGTCGCTTCGCCTCCACCTGTCAAGATAGTCCGGAACAACGAAGAGGGTAACACAGAGAAAGAGGAAAGAAAAAGGAAGATAAACAGGGAAATGGATGAAATAAAAGAAAAGAGAAAAAAGACAATAAGAAACAAGACCCCTACGAGGAGCAGAAAGTACCTTCCATATAGAGATAAGGGAAAAAAAGTTCAGCGTGGAAGGAAACTGTAAGACCGGAGTCGCTGGAGTAGCGATGGAGGGAGGATATTGTGACGGTCCTGCATGTCGAGAGGTCTCTGGATGGCCTGGTGTATCCGCATTCGATCGGCTGAGGTATTGTCTTCAGGGGTCGCTGTGGTAATTCGCTATGTCGTGTGTTGACGAATGTGGGATTGTAACGTTTTATCTCCGCCCGAACCTGCTGCACATGGAAAAGCTCGTATGATTTCTTACTTCTTCTTTGGTTTGCGCGGAGGAGTGATGGGCGCGCCTGAGCTCATGCCCCCGTAAACGTACTTTTGTTTCTTCTCTGCTGGTTTCAGAATCTGGAAAAAAAAAAGCTATATTAGTAACTGGACCACAAGTCGGTGCCAAACCTTAGGGCTCACAACATACCTGGAATGAACAAAGAAGGCTTTCATCAACACTCATCATTGCACCGGCGTTGTCGAACTCTCCACAGTAGTTGGGAGCACTGAATAGCGTTACAAGCTGTCTCTTCGAGAAAAATTCGTAACCGTCCTCGACGACTTGGTGTGCACGGCATATCAGATCCATATCATGCTTCTGGAGGAAACGAGAAACGACATCGGGACCGAATGTGAACGATACACCTCGGTCGTTCTCGCTCCAGCCGGTGATATCTTTGTCGGGATCGGACCAGAGAAGATCGCAGAGAAGACCGCAGTCAGGGATCTATCCTAGTTAGCAAAGCAAACCTTGAGCTGCGAGAGCCCGGCGGGACCCCTTTCGGCTGTTTCAAACATTACAGACGAAAAGGAATCCATAGAGGCCCGTAACAAGAAAAGGGACCCGGTCCGTGATATGAAGCTGTGAAGGGGAGGGAAACTCACATCGGTAGGACGCATGACGCGCCGGATCTGTTCCATAGAGTTCAAATCGGGACTGAGACCACCATGCATGGTGAAAATCTTCTCGTCGATAATTGCCGCGATGGGCAAGCAGTTGAAGCAATCAGTGAATGTCTTCCAGAGCTTAATATTGTACCGCCGCTTGCACTCGTCATAGAAGCCATAGATACGGTTGATGGAGGCACATTCGTGGTTACCACGGAGAACAAAGAAGTTTTCAGGATATTTGATCTTGTACGCAAGGAGGAGGCAGATGGTCTCGAGTGACTGCTTGCCACGGTCGACGTAGTCTCCGAGGAAGAGGTAGTTGGCCTCAGGCGGGAAGCCACCGTATTCAAAAAGACGCAAGAGATCGTAATATTGGCCGTGAATATCACCACAGATCTGGTGAAGGCAAAGTCAGTTTCGATCCGATGTGTAGGCAAGTATTGTCGCCAAGCCGCGGCAATAGCCCGAGGAACAGGCATCATCTTACCTTGATTGGCGCTTCCAGCTCCAACAGTATCGGTTGAGAGATGAAAATCTCCCTAGCCTTGGTGCAAAGATACCGAATCTCCGCTTCCAACAGTTGAACCTGCTTTCCAGGCCGGCTGCCCCTCACCTCCAGCAGTCTATCAATGATGTTGTCCAGGTCCACTTCTTGATCAGCCATGACGTGCTGATTCTCGAGACGAAAACGAAGTAAAAAGAGTGATTAATACAAAGGCGTTGAACAACGAAAGGGAGAAAAGAAGGACGAAGGGGAGATGGTGGCTTCCGGAGCGCTCGGTACACCAATTTAGGCGGCGTCTATTAACTGAGATAGCGGAAAAGAGGTTAGAGCTGCTCGAATATCGTGAACAGTGCGATCCAGACGCGTGATTCAATGCGCCCGGGAAATTTTTTTTTCTCACCTCCAACCCTTGATATCGGGAAGAACGATGGGAACTGATAGGAGTAGACGGCTTACCGAGATAGAATCTAGGATAAAAAATAGACTCAAAGGAGTTTGCAGCAGGCCAAATGGCCTTGGAATGGTGAGGAGGAGGAGGAGGATCTGGCAGCTATGCCAGATGGTGACGATTGTAGCAGCCCGCTCTGAGAACTATCCTTGACTGATGACGCGCGATGCAAAACGAGGTGATGCGGCTCCCGCAGATTCTGGAAGAGAATAAGCGTCGAAAAAAGAGCCCGGTGTTGTTGGATGGGGTTGCTTTTGGACTGGGTGGGAAAAAAACGGGAAGCGTGTAACGGGAAAACAAGCGACGCAGCGGATTGGCTTGAGAGTGGGATGGGACTAGCAGGACGGATGAACGACGGGAATTCGACAAGGACTTTCTTTTTCTTCGTTTAATCTGCTGCTGTTGGTGAAGATGATAGTATTATTTTCAGAGGGTGAGAGCTTCGAAGGAATCGATGATCTTGGGTTGTGGTGGCGTGAGGGGGTGGAAGGGGAGGGGAGGAAAGATTGTTGGTCGGCAATCAAGGGATCTCAGGTCCTCTCTCTCTTGCTCTCTATCTCCCGTTCAAGCGGTCGAGGCGGAAGAATTTTTATTCCCCCTTTTGGATGGCGCCTTCTTTCGAAAGTCTTAGCTTTTTCTTTTCTTCGCTGATCTCACGGTGGTCGATCAGAGAAACTAAGAAAATGTCAGAATGAGTCGTGATGCAGGCCAGAACAGTGCATGGGCAAGGGAAGAGAAAAGGGAGAGAGTTGAGTTTAGTTGTGGTGTTGCGGGTTGGGGATTGGCGCGCGCATAAGGCGGCGTATCGTCTGTCCTCTGTGCAAGGTGAAGGTTGAAGGAAGTAATCTACTAGGTGTCGGGTATCTATTCACCATGACAATGCTGCACTCTTAAAAGACTACCTTAGATATCTTCCTTTATTTCTATCTTGGCCTTAGATGAATATGCTTGACAACGACATCTCTGTTTGTTCTTTATGACCAGTATTTATCTCGGCTGCACATCCAGGTCCAAAAATAGCGCTCAGGCATTGTGTGGTCCAAGTACGACAACAAACTTCCCCATATACTCCTCCCTCTGCAAGGAGTTTCTGTTATGACTTATGGTCTGTCTGTGACGTGAAACTCTAAGTATTTGGTCAACTATCTTCTCATTCCCCTATCTAACCCTCCCGAATCTCTTCTGTTTCCAGCAGCCGAGCTACCACGACGTCTACACACAAGCATCCTATTGGGAAGCCCCACCCTTGGTCTAGATGGAACATCAGCAACTCAGAGTCTATCCAGACTCCAGAGTCCAGAGAGTGGCACCGATTTCCATTCATAATCTTCCAAAAACGCGGCGGAGAATGTATCTACATTACGTCTGATGTAGTAACAGCCTCGGGAGCGCCCAAGGCGAATTGTATCGTCTGTTGCAGAAATATGACTCGTCATTGTTTAAATTCATGTCTCATGCATTAGGCCCGAATCTCATCGCTCAGTCTTTGACAGGAAAAATAACCGAAATAAAAACAAGATCGCAGGCAAGTATACATCGTGCAATGATAGACAACGACATCTCCATGAAGTGTAGATGGTAATCCTCACACAACGCATCATTAGGAGAACCGGAAAAACCACGTTCCAGGAAGACTGATGGGAGGGAGGAGGAGGGGGGGGAATATGAAGCCGAAGAAATATAACCATAAAAACTCGAAACAGAACCCGGTAACGCCTTGACACCAGCTCCAGCTGCGCTTCATCAAGAGATACAATACAAGCGGTCTAAGCAGGAAAGCGACTTTCTTTCATGATGCCTCCCAAATGTCGGTCCATATAGGGTGTCGATTGCAGATAGAGAAATAAGGTTGTAAGGTAAGAATATCAGGGCGGCCGACGAGACGAGGCGAAGAGGGAGCAAAAAGTGTTCAAACATCCAGCCCGCAATTTCGAAGATTCACGTAACGCCATAATCAATGCAGTCGAGCCATCAATTGCCAGAATGGCACACGCAGGCAGCCAGTCGTGGCGGTGAGGCGCAAAATAACCAAGAATTGGACAACGCCTCACACAAGGACCTGCTGATCATTTTCTCGAGATGCTCAGAGCCAAAGGGAAGGTTCGTCTGCCGTGCTTCCAGATGTAACTAAGCTCCAAGACTCGCAGTCTTTTGCAGTTTTTAATCCGCACCAACTAACAACGAAGTCCGAAAATTCTGTCTTTTTGGTCTCATAAGTACTTTTGCTTTTTGTTCGATTGGTTTTTGATTGGCGTAAAGGGTGTGTCTCATCCATGTAACCAAAGCAGTGGTCGTTACTGGCGTAATCCCCATTCGTGACTCAGGGGTTTCCACCACTGAGTATAGGTTGGTTAGCTGCCCTTGGGAAAGTTCCCGCAGTCAGCAGGTTGGATTCGCCAATGCTCGTCCCTGTACGAGGCATGCTGATGCTCTTATCCCGAGTACGGTCTCCCATCGTCGAGAGCCAGCTGCTACCAAACTCCTGCTTGAGAGCCTCCAACTTCCGCATGTAAAATTCTTCATCGGCCTTCCAATCGGTGTTGTGAGGCATGTTCTGCACAACGGCAGACGTTTTGACCTGTGAGGAGGAGCTAGTGTCGACTATTCCGTCAGGGTGAGGTATGTTGGAGGGTTCGGCCTGGGGTCCACCATCAGATTTCCATTGACGGTCGGTAGGCGTCGAAACAAACGGATCAACGAGCAAGTGAACATGCTGCATGGGAGAAACAGAAGGCACCACCGCACCTGTATCGCCATTATCATCAGTGGGCTTATCCAACGAGATGTCAACAATTCTCCGCCGAGGACCCTGCTTTCGTCGACTAGACCCAATTCCCCGATCATTCTCTGGTACTGGCGCTTGAGAAGACTTTGAGGCTGCGGCTCCCTGGGCCACATTCAGGGGTTTGCTAACGATAGCCACGGCCGAATGGTCTGCTGTAGCTGACCGAATGACTGGCGTGCTTTCAACCTCTGCAACCCGATCGGCCAGCTGTTTCCTTTCCGTGTATCCCGGTCCCGAACCGTCGATGATTATGTCTTCCGAGTAACCCGGGGTGCGGCGAAAGAGGTTGAAAATCACGACACGGTAGTTCGGATGCGTCTTGACGAATGGATTTCCTGACACCCAGATCTCCCGTATCTCAGGGAGATTGGTCAGTCTGGCAATCTCTGTAGGGTCGAAAAGGTTGTTGTCTCTCAGATCCAATCTCTCGAGCGAAGGCAGCCGCTCGATACCGGCAAGCGACCGGAGACGGTTGCCGCGAAGGTTCAGAGCGGTAATCGCAGGAAGGGGGTTCCGCGTCAGAGAGTGAAGAGAGTCGATCATACAATGAGACAGATTGAGAGCCCTCAGAGCGACTAGCGAGGCCAAACTGTCAGGGACTTCGGTGAAGAGGTTCGCCGACAGATCAAGAGAATGCAGACTGTTGGCGATGGGTGCCAAGGCGGCCGCGGTGACAGAGGTCAGGGAGTTGTCAGGGAGGCCCAAATGCCGCAGGAATCGCCATTTCGACGGCGGAAGGATACCAGACGGCAAACTTGACGAGCTTCCGTTACGGTACCCTGAGTTTTCGCTGGAGTTCGAGCTACCCGACCCAGTACGCCTAATTCGCGAAGAAGTTCCCCGGTTGTGACGATGGCTCGAGTGCTTCGAACTGGTAGGGCGTGAGGGTGAAATGCTTCCAGTGCGTGCTCGGCCTGGGGTAGCGCCTTCAGAGCCTACTCGCATCATAGAAACGGCCTTGGGGCTTGTGCTTGTTCCAAACGCCGTTTCAACCACTGGTGAGCCGGGAGCGGAAATAGAGCCTGAGATATCAGGCTTGTGCACTGGTTGAGGATGAGCATTTCCGTTCCAACCAAGGACTGGCGAGTGCTGAGCCTTCGACGACCGTCGTCGGCGTTTATCAATGTCATCAAGCACGATCCCGGTCAGCAGATCTGCCATGTCTTCGACGTTCGCCCTTTTTAAAGTCAACGTTCGCAACTGCTCAGATAGTCGGTCCCAGCCGAAAAATGAGCGGTAGTCTATATCAATAATCTCTAATACGCTCAAGTTTTTGAAAGAATGGAGAGGAACTGCAGTGTCAAAGGGAAACTCCTCGTACCCGCGTATTAAGCGGGCGCGATGGTCTGGGGCTAGACGTAAACAGGGGATTTTGGTAAAAGCAGAGTACAGATATTTAAGATCAGCATCCAGAGCAGCTTTGGCTTTCTCGGACTTGGAGGCCGAATCCTTGGATCCCAGACCTATCGAGGACCAGAGAGCACTCATGCCAGACATGACACTACGGACACTTGACACAGAGTGAATGGAATCTCTGTCACCTTTGGACCGTTGGGGTTTGTTCAGAAAAGAGACATAGGACTGCGATACGTCGTTATGGATATTCTCCAACCTAACGTTCATGGGTCCCACGGAGATGGAAAGGTCCTCGAAGCAGGAAAGGAGGTAGAATAGATGATGAGGAGTGAGGGTGAGTTTGGCGGGCTTGATGTTATGAGAGGCAAACCTCAATGGCCCAAAGGACAAGGCTGCCGCCAAGGTCGACGAAGTCGAGCTTGAGGACAAGCCCGACTGAGTAGGTTGTGCATTTTTGTTGGTTTGGCGTCTTAGCTGCAGTGCATTTGCAAGAGCTTTCTCATGGGTGCGTACGAAGCTTGCGAGGTTCTAACCAGGGAAAAGTAGATAGGTTAGTACACGCCTATCTGC